TGGTACACACATAATGATAATAATAATAATAATAATAATAATAATAAAAAGAAGTGAAAGTCTGGTTAATTCACAGTTGCTTTTGCTTTTTTTTCTCTGCCTCATGAAGGCATTGTTGAAGTCTTGTCCTGCAAAGTCCTGTTCACGCTTGTCCTCCCAAGGGGATGTTATACGAAAGTGTCCGAGAGCCCTCACTCTCATGTTCTGAGGAGGTTACCCTTGGAGCTCATTCATATCCTCAGCCCTTCCTAAGGTACAAGAGTCCTGGGATAGGACTTGCTTCTAGGTTCATGGATCGATGCCCCCTCTCCTTCCACCCGCCTCAGCCATGGCCGTTGCTTTGATGTGATCATTAGAGTCTCAAAACACAAAGGTCTTACTTTCCCCCTCCCTGGGGTAATTGGTACTGCTTAGCTTGCATTCATCTTTCTAAGGAAGGCAACTTTGTTGTTGTTGTGTATCATCAAGTCCGAACCAACCCGTAGCTCACCCTCCAGTGGATTTTCAGAGGCAGTAAATTATACGGAAGAAGAGTGTCCGTCTTTCTCCTACAGAGCAGCTGGAGGATTTAAACTACATATCCTTGTGCTGGCAGCATAATTCCTTACCCCTAAGCCATCAGAGCTCCTTTTTTAAAATTTCTTTCTCTCCTTTCCCTTTCCTTTTCTTTCACTTTCTTTATGTCCCAGGAGCTATTCTAAGCACTTTATGTTTTAAAACTCTTTTATTTTCACACCAACTGTATGATTTAAAAAAAAAGGTATATGTCTATTTTACACATGAGGAAACAGAGCTATGAAGAGTTTAAAGCACTTGTTCAGGGGGGTTCATCTGCAGAATCATTAATGCGGTGAGCCCAGGAATTCTAGCCTCAGAGGTTGTGCCACTAACCATTAGTAGCGATGCCACTTACTACCTCCAAAGTAGTGGTTTTCTATTCTTGAGCTTAAGTAGTTGCCAAAGAAGAAGGAAAAAGCTCTATTGTTGTTATATGCTGTTGAACCAGAACTGACCCGTAAATAATCCTCCAGCGGGTTTTCAGAGGCAGTAAATCGCACAAGAGGCGATAACCCATCTTTCTCCCTCAGAACAGCAGATGGATTCAAACTGATTTCACTCTGGCAAACACAATAAACCACGTCTGTCCGTCTGTCTTAAATTTATGCTGATGGTGCACACCTCGTACTGGTGGCTCAGTCCGCAGGGAGTTGCTCTGCTAACCGAAAGGGGGAGCCTCTCCGGTGGTTCGAGTCCACCAGTGGCTCTGTAGGAGAAAGATGAGAAATCTTCTCCAGTGATTTACAGCCTCAGGAAACCTACTGGAGGATCAGCTATCAGTCGATTCCTACGCAACAGCAATGAGCCTGAGCTTATTTTATTACTTCTTTCAATATGCAAAAGGAAAAAAACCGAATCGATTCTCACAGGGAGTCAGTGACCTCAGGCAGCTGGGCTGTGTTGGCCCTGATTTGTGTGTTGAACTGCTTGAAGCCTGGAGCTGTCTGATTTAGGAGAAGGGTCTCCAGGTTGCCTCGGTGGATCTTTGCTACCAGTCTGGAGAACTCTGCCCACTTCCCTCTCAGTGTGATCTCCTTCCAGCACCCACCGTGTTCCCAATGCCAAGGCCCTCACTCTCCTGCTCCTCAGGTTACTCGGTGACCTGGCTGCCCTCCCAGCGACACACATCCCTGCTGGCAGCTGGAGCCCCCAGGTACCAGCATGTGGGGCAAGTACTGTTGTTCCAAGAGCCAAAGGCTGGAGGAAATTGGAGCCAGGTCCAGAAAATCAAGGGAACGCAGGTGAGTACACGTTGTGTTTGGAGCCATCGAGTCGAGTAGGACTCACAGTGACCCCATAAACAGCAGGCATGAGCTCTGTCCTATCCTGTGTCCTCATCATCACCTCTGTTGTCACCTCTTATCACGACATAGGGTCCCTAGAAGTAGGAATTGTCACCACAGCACCTACCAACAATTCTCCCTACATTCCTCTGCTTTACGTGTGACGCTGTGCACATGTTACATCTGCTCCTCCCAGAGGTCTCTGGGGCGACTGCCACCATCTATCTCTATTTTACAAGTTTAAGTCACTCAACCTCAAAGAGTTCCACTTGTCCTACTAATATAGGCTCAAGAGTGAGTCCAGCATTTGAACGTGGGGTAGAAGAATTAAAATGTGCTACATAAAGTTGATCCAATTGTTACCAATTGGTAGCATCAGGATGGACGGTGATGAGATTGAGATTCTTCACAGCTTTAGTTTGGTTGGCTCCACAGTCAACACTCTTGGCACCAGCAGCCAGGAAATTAAAAGACGTATTGCGATGGGAACGTCTGCTGTTAGGGACCTCTCCAAAGTACTGAAGAGCAATGGTGTCTCTCTGGAGACTAAGGTGCGTCTGATACAGGCCATGGTCTTTGCAGTCACTTGTTATGCATCAGAGAGTTGGACAATGACTAGGGAGGATAGAAGGAGAATTGATGCCTTTGAGCTGTGGTGCTGGAGAAGAGTACTGAGGATACCATGGGATGCTAGGAAAACAAACAGATTCATCCTGGAAAGGGTTAAACCGGGTGGCTCCTTGGAGGCAATGATTCTGAGGCTTCATCTAACATACTTTGGACATGTTGTAAGGAGGGATCGGTCCTTGGAGAGGAACATCATGCTTGGGAGGGTGGAGGGACAGCGCAGGAGGGGAAGGCCCTCTAAGGGTGGATTTGTGTCAGAGACAGTGCGATTGGCACAGGACAGAGCAGAGTTTAGGGCTGTTGTACACAGGGTGGCTATGAGTCACATGCAACTTGACGGTACCGAACAACAACAACAACAACATACAGTTGGGTAAATTCTGGGCTCTTCCTCAAACACCTTATCCCTACAGATTGGCTCTTACTTTGGTGGGGAACTGTGTGGCATTGACATGGACCAAGATGGGGAGACAGAGATGCTGTTGATTGGAGCCCCCATGTTCTATGGGGAGCAAAGAGGAGGCCGAGTATTTGTCTACCAGAGAAAAAAGGTGAGGACCAGAAGGACATTAAGCCAAAGGGGTGGGAAGAAGCATCAGCTCACAGGCCTATTCAGGTCCCAATTATTCTGGAAAACCTTCCCCATCTGATCACCTTTACTCAAGCTTTTAGAACCATGTTTAAGCAGTAGTAACACTCATACAGGTGGACTATGTCCAAGACCCAGTACCCAACATTTTATTTCTATATGACCTCATTTGAGTTTCAAAAATAACCTGAGTTATTACAAGCTTCACCTGGCAAATAGGAACATTGAGGCTCTGCAGGGCTAGGTAACTTTCCAAAATCCCAAGATCACACAGATGGCTCCATCTTGCATTAGTGCTGATGTTTTTCACCGTCATACATGCAACAGTCTGTGAAAGTTTGTTGAGTGTGGTGTGCCCTGCCTCCTTGCTCTCTCCCAGATGGGCTTCAAAGCGGTGTCAGAACTGCAGGGGGACTCTGGCTACCCGCTTGGGCGCTTCGGAGCAGCCATCTCTGCCCTGACGGACATCAATGGGGATAACCTGATGGACGTCGCTGTGGGAGCCCCTCTGGAGGAACAGGGCACCCTTTACATCTTCAATGGGCACCCTGGTGGGCTCAGGCCCCAGCCAAGCCAGGTGATGTACCTCTGCCTGCCAATCATAGACCCTCCGAGCCCAGACCCACTCTCCAGCCTGCCTTTTCCCTTCCTCCAACTGTCCTCTCCCCAGCTTGGCATAAACTTCTTTTTTTGCTTTCAGAGGATAAAGGGGACCCAGGTGTTCCCCGGAATTAGGTGGTTCGGACGCTCCATCCATGGAGTGAAGGACCTTGGAGGAGACGGCCTGGCAGATGTGGCTGTAGGGGCCGAGGGTCAGGTGATCATCCTCAGGTGAGACAGGGCTTCTGAGTCCGGCCTCTGAGGAACTTCAGCTCGCATCCTTTGAACAGTTACTGCGTACGAGGCACCACATCAAAAGCCTCATAGTCTAGATTCTCTTTTTCTAGAAGATACACATCTTACTCTCGATTACACAGTTGGAGCTCTGGTGGACTAAGGATAAGGAGTTGCACTGCTAACTCAAAGGCAGGTGGTTTGAATCCGCCAGCTGCTCCAGGGGGGAAATCACGATGTCTTCCAGTGTGATTTACAGCCTCTGAATACATGCTGCAGGGTCAGTTACGGGCCAGTTTCAACTCAAAGGCAGTAAGAGAGAGCAAATAGCAGAGCTGGGATTTGAGCATAGGTCGATTTGATCCTAAAACCTCCTATAGAAGCCGCGTTGTATAATGGATAAGACATGACTTTAGAATGCCATGACCTGAATTGAAGCTCTGCCATTTACATGAATGATCTTACCTCAGTCACTTCTCAGCCCCTACATTTCCTCATCTTTAAAAAGATAGTGGTGGAGAGCTCTGGTGGCCTAGTGGCAAGAAGCTGCATTGCAATCCTAGAGGTGCACAGTTCGAATCCACCAGATGCTGTGCTGGAGGAGG